GCAGTAACCTTGTGTGTGGGAAATTAACGTCTCCTACCCCCAACCCTGCAGGAGACGGGACCTCCATTTATTCGTCCCTATCTGAGAAGACTAGAATATCTAACCATTTCTTGATGTTATAGAAAGGTAGCAAATTCTTCTCAATTATATTAAGACCTTGAGTGTTGGTCCAGCTGGGGCTTGAACCCTTGACCTCCCGCACAACAGTCCAGTGCACTATCCATTGGGCTAACTGGGCGGCAGTCTGAGAAATGAAAAGTGAATTTCTTTTGCTTTATTCCCCCCAGCCTCAGTGCCATGTTAGAATTTTAATACATCAAAAATGGCCTATTCAGAATCCTTGCTAACCAACCACTTCTCTATAAACAAGATATAAGCACAGTTTGAGTCTAACAATAACATTTTCTTAAAGTAGTGAAAGACATCTGGCAATGAAGTTTAAATGAATTGATTTCATACCTTTCTAGGATCATCTCCAAGAGATCTTAGATAATATTTCTCCTCCTGAGTCCAAAAAAAATCAGACTGTCAAGTTGAGTGTCAGATTTCTGATCTTCGTCTTGTTGATTAAAAACAGAATTGCCATTCTTTCAAGAGATTAACTTAACTACATCTATCAATATTGACATATTCAATTAGCTTCTAATTATTTCTCTCTTTGTATGTTTTATGGTCTCTTTTACAACTGCAAAAATTTTTTATACTTTTAACACTCACATATATATATATATATATATATATATATATTCATTATTTCATTATTACCATTCACCTGACAATGGCCAAAAAGTATGGTTGAAACACTTTTTTTTTTACTGTTAATTTTCACTGATACTACAGTATCATTATTTGATACTACTTATAATGAAGCACCATATCATTTATTGCATGATGTAGTCACTCCTAGTATGGATTGTCATCCAGATAATAAGTAATTAAATTGTACGTGTCATATAAACAACTTTTATTCCTTAATACTTATTTCATGTTACATAATATTCTACGAGACCTTACTGTTCTCAACTTAGACCATCAAAAGTTAATGTATAAATTACTTACTGGGCAAATAAAATATTCTTTATGGACAGTTTCACTGGTCCGCATAACAAATTGGTTAAATGGAAGAGTTCTGAAAATGAAAAAAAAAAAAAGAAAAAAAAGAAAAAAAAAGAGAAAAAATAAAAAGGAAAAAGGAAGGTTTTGTCAGGTTTTTGAAAACGTCGATCCCTTGTAAAGATAACTTTCATTGAAGTTTTTGTGGGGTGGGGGCTTATACCTGTAGAAATTTTGTGTGAGGGAAAGAGAGCATTAACGTTAAGATTGTCAATTTACGCACAAATTGATAAATTTTCCTTAAAAAGAGAAGCTAGTGGGAGTATTGTTCTTCCTTCTCCTTCCTTGGAGAGGTCAGTTTCACAAGCCAGGCTTGCTTATCTTTAGGCTGGAGCAGTATTCAGAAGAAAATGGACTAAACAAGTATATTTTGATGAGAACTATACGAAGCTCGGTGTTAAAGCATCCAAACAACTAGTAGAAAAGTCAAAATTTCCCCTCTCCCCTAGAGTGCTTGGAATGTCTTGTTACTGAGTACATCTATGTCACAGAGTAAAGACAAAAATAAAACAACAACAACAACAACAAAAGAAAAGAAGGGCATGTAAAGAAAACAGTATGAAACAAAAAAATCACATTTCTAAAATAGTTTGTGGTTGTGTGACAGTAAGGCAGTTAGAAGGGGGCACTTTAATACAATCATGTTCAGTTGGCCACTCGAAACAATATTTCTCCAGCCAACCTTACACGATAACATCGGCTGTCCCCTTATTTCATATTCATGGGGGAATTAGTAAATGATATTTTGACGCTGAATTAGGTCATGGGTTATCTAGATTATCTCATCAAGCATCAGCCGGTTTATTTTTATTATCTCCTTACTTGTAAGCAAAGTTTTTGTGAATAAAGTCCATCTTCCCAGTCGGACAGACGTGAACCTTCACTGTCTTTTCACCACCATGCTGAGCAAGATATTCGGGTGTCCACTTTCCACAAGCACTTCCAATGTGGAGTCCTCGAAAAAGCGCTGGCTTTCGCTTAGAAGCTATATCTGACTCGAATATTTCTTTTGTCACCCCTGTGTAGACATGAACACGATTCTTCTCTCTTTGTGTCATTTTTGTCCATAAAATTTACATGGATCTTGACAAATCAAAGCAGAATCTTTATACTAAGATACTTCTGTTCGTACGACTTCTCCGCCATGTTGTTTTTAGACGAGAAAGACTGGAATCAACTAACTAAAATTTCGTTTCCAGGCCTAGGGTCCGTGATAAGACTTTTTGTCAAGCATGCGATTGCATCATATTTTGCCCCAGAGGATTCAAGATATCAAACAGCAGATAAAAATTGAATCTTCAGAAAAAACATTTTTTAACAACCATTTTAGTTTCCACCAACGAAGAACCTCCCCAGCGGAAAAAAAAACACTGAAGTGAGATTTTGCGGAACTTTCCCTGAGCTTTCCCTCCAGTTAGCAATTCAAAATTTTAATTCCATACGGTTAAAGGCGATGGTACTCCTTTCAGAAATAGAAGTACCTCTATCTATTTTTTGAAGAAGGAAAATTTATGCTAAAATTCAAATTCGGATGATCATAATAGTTATAACGACGTCGATTATTTTGAAGATAAGGAAGTTAGCCACCCTTTTGGTTTAGCCGTCTCATTTTAAGTGTTTTCTCGCCTAAATAGAGGACTATGTGGTACTTTCCATAATATTAAGGGTATATTTTCATGTCCCCGGCAGTGAACAACTTGAATTATCATGGCCTTTGGTTATTGAGCCGATGATTGATAGAAGCTTCAAAGCCCTTAGATCAATAGACTCATTCTGATAGTTTCTTTATTTTGTAATACGCTAATTATTATCATATCATTTTGTACTTCGCTAATTATCCTTGGTGTAAATACTGCTAGTTTAACATCCTGTGACACTACATGATCATGACTCTGAGATGGAGTTGAAATATTGTTTTTCCAAATTATATCCAGTGCATGAGCTAATACTTAGTTTACAAAGATATGATTTCCATCATCAGTCGTTCTCGCCTCTTTCCTTCTTTAGCTTGTTATGTATATTGTTATAATTTTGTCGCTTCCCCTTAACAGACACTCCATCACTGTAATGCTTAGAATATCTACAGTGATATAAAATGTTCCATATACCATAATTGTTTTTTCTTCTTTTTTACTTCTTTCCTTGCTTATATGAATTGGCTCGAAGGTCTAATGTTTCATTTCGGTACAGTCTTTTGAACATCTTTTTACAATAACCTGCTATGTTTTAACATGAATCAAAACGTGATTTAAAACTATTGTCACCTTGGAGAAAAATAAAAATTATCACCATAATATATGAGAAACAAAATTTCTCTCCATGACTGCTTCAGGTAAACATTTGTTTAAGGCCATTGCGCAAATCTCTCATTCTCCATAGGTATAAACCTGGGTTGAGAAATGAAGACAAAAATGTAAGAGCTATCGACGTTTCTCTAGCAATCGTAAGTTTATAATCATCTGTAGAGGTAAAAATGAAAGGAATCGAAATGCATATGATGTAAGGCACATAGCAAGTGGAAAATAACAGTAAGATGTAAACCATGGATGCCACAGATTTCTTGTATTTCGCTAAGTTTATTGCAGATTGACCAAAGTTGTGAGATATCCCATTGGCCTGTATTTGTTGCTGATGTCGGCGAATAATTTTGTAAACTTTGAAATGGGCGAACAATATTAGAATATAACAAGACAACATCTCTGCTATTACCAAAGCGAAAAAAAGATTGTCTTCAAGACTGCGAAGGCGAATGACTACAGCTGGAATCGGAAGGAGCAAAATAATGCTGACAGTGGTCGTGAAACGTCTTCGATTTGATGTTAGATGGAATCCTCGAGACATGTACAGCCATCGTTCGATGGACATTAGTGTTATAGTTGATATCGTAACCGTGACGAAATAGATGGCACTACTCACAAATATTACAAAAAGAATTACCGACTTGTAAGAGTAAATTGAAGATGTCAGAAAGAACCCAGCATAGGAAGGTTGAACGATGAGACCAGTACAAAAGTCAGTGAACGCTAAACCACTGAGGAGAAGATGGAATGATGATCTAGTAAAAGTCCTTCTCCAGATTGTCGCCAAAATCAGGGCATTTCCCACCACCGCCACTGGTGACGAAACAGTGAGGACAATAGATGTAGAGAAATAGAAAGTAGAAATGCTCTCTGTCACGTCGTCTGATAATAGATGGGAATTAGATTTTTGCTGAAAATGAACAGTTGTGTTGTTGAACATGGCGTGGCTTCTGTTGCAAACAGAACGGTCCAAATTAGTTGACAGATATTCAGTAACTCCCAGGTAAACATTGTGTGGCTCTAATGGATATTTGCATGCACTGTTTGCATAATATGACTGATTGCCTGAACGCTAAATTAAAATATACTTGGTTAATGACATTGGAAGAGAAGCATCATTCTCAAGGCAAAATTTTTAATTAAGGGAGTAAACTCTAAAAAAACGGGAGATTCTTTTTATCATTTCTATCCATTATGCTGTTTTTAAATTAATAAAGGCTGATAGTTTCTAAAGAAACTGTTTGGGGCTCTGTCGGTGGGGGTAACG